AAAAAAAAAAAAAAAAAAAAAAAAAAAAAAAAAACAAAAAAAAAAACTTACTGCAGAAGATAATTCACCAAACAGGCCACTGGGAATCAGCTCTGGTGGCTCATCCTGAGAGGCGTGTGCTTGACAGCCCTTGCCCCAGGAACACAGGGGTGCAGGGAGAAAAGGTGGAAAGAAGGGCCATTGGTCTCATTTTGATACCCCTCTCTTCTTTCAGGTAACAATCAGGCGGCTTCACTGAATCCCTGCTTTTGTAAATTACTTTTTTTACTATTGCTGGAAGCATCCCACCTGCTGCTAATAATAAAGGCAGATGTATGGCAGTCCTGTCTGTTGCCCATTCTGCAGGTGTGGGGGGCCGCTGGGACCTCCATTCCTCACCCAGTCTCTTCCCTTAAGGCTCACCTGTGGATAGGAAGGGCCTGGGCCTACCCTCTACTGTTTCTAGGACAAACTTCTCTAGGAATCCACATCAGTCCATTCTGCCCTGGGCCAGTCCCTGCCCTAAACATAGCCACCCTTCTGTGTGCTGGGGCATCCTCACCAGGCTCAGCTTGTCCCCTTAAGAAGGCTTTTCCCCTCGGCTACTTTTAACGCAGGTGGGCAGCAGCAGGTGCGTGGGTGGGGAAGGTGTGGCCATGGGAGGGGCTGAGGCCACTCCTAGCCTCGGTATGAAACTAAGAGGATAAGGGGTATGAAGCATCCATTTGGCTATCTGTCTCAGAAGCTGAGATTTCAGTCTTCTCAGGAAGAACTCTGAATTCCAGTTGGCCCTCGCCCCATAGGTGACTCCTCTCCCACCAGACCAATCCCAAGAAGAGAAAAGGAGGCAAGCTCAGATACAAAGCAGTATTTATACATTTATTTATATATGTATATTTACTTCAGACGAAAAGAACAGTTCGGGTACAGGAAACAAGCAGGCCTGGAGCTGCTGCCCTCACTGCCCACCTCAGAGAGTTGGTACATGATAAATACGAGTCCAAGCTTAGGGAGAGGAACTGGGAGTTAACTGGGAGGTAGGGGGCGCTATATGCACATGCAGGCTTCTATGGGGGCACAGTATGGGCAGCATGATTTGCACCGGGAGACCCTATGTACAGCTTGAAGCTAGGGGGAGATTAGCCCAGTGGCTACAGGAACAAACGCCAAAGGAGAGAGAAGGGAGGGATGACCTGCTGGACCCCAGGGCAGGGATGGGGCCAAGACACTCACACCATTGCCAGCCGGGCAGCTGGCAGCCTTCAGCAGGTGGCCCACTTACCTTTCCTGAAGCCCTTCTACCACAGGCTTAAGGCAACTTTGGTCCAAGGTTGACCCCCTCAAGCAGCTTGGAGCCCAAGCCTGGCCCCAACGCCTGCACTGAGGAAGCCCTCCGCAGGCATGGAAACAGAGCCAGCTGCTAATGGGTTTGGGGCTGTGCTGTGTCCACATGGGCTCCAGGGGGCAGTGGACGGTCACTTTCCAGTTAAGGACTGAGGGGCCACTGTCTAAGAACATGAACCCCCATTGAGGAAGCCCCAGAATCCTATTACATGGAGTGGGGCTCAGCAGTTTTAAGGCATAGGGAGGATTCCCTCAGTAGGAGGGATAACAAAGTCATCCTAAGTAAGGCTCAACCCCTGCATGGTATGGGAATGGTGAAATTCCTATGTCAGTGGAGCCTAATTGGGGAGGAGGCTGGGAGGAAGCTATCCCTGCTATTCCTGCATCCCCCTGCTGTTCCCTATCCTGAGGACAAGTGCTTTCAGATCAATGGCAAAAGGGGGCCTGCAGGTCACAGGCTTCAAGGATTCAGCTCCACTATAGAAAGGCCTCCCATTCAAAGCTGAGAATGAGCAGTGGGACAGGGGCAAGGCCTGGTTCCCAAAGAGGTGGCAGCATACCACAGGGCAAGGACAGCAATTCCCTTTCCTGTTTCTGGACCCATGGCAGACATGGCTAAATGATTACCACACTCCTTCCATGAGCCTGGATGTGACCTCAGAATGCACCAGGTACCACTAAGAAACTTGAAGTTGGCACTTAAGATACAACTTCTTCCCTAACCCAGGGCCTTGGTGGTCAGGAGTGGGATAGGGGTCTGAGGCTCCCTGGGAGGGATCAGAGCCAGGGCCCTGTCTGTAAGTGTCACACCCCTGCTCTAGCCCACTCTGAGCTTTCTAGCTCCATCCTTCCTGCCCTGGTTTAAGTGCATTTAGTAGTTACTTCATTAATAACAGCAAAAGCTATTTGCATCTGCCCACCAGCCAAGACCAGGCTGCTGCTTGAGGGATTCCTGCTCCTCTGCTCAGAGAGGAGGTGGTCACTGACATCACTGTGACCTCTGTACACTCCAGGAACACAGGCAGTGGGCAGCAACACCATCTGGGGGCTCAAAGGGAACGTCCCCTTCTGGATATTCTTGGTTCGAGGCTCCAGGGCTTACCTGGCCCACTGGCCCCCACTGGTTCAGGCCTGTTAAGGGCTGAGGGTGGCTTCATCAGGCACTGAGTAGACTTAAGGCACAAAGTCAGTTTCTCCAACCCATCTAGGGCTGGCCTCGGCTGCCCTGGGACTTCTTGGGAGCCAAGCTCTCCCAGGGAGAAGAAACTTCCTGGGCCACATTTAAAGCTTAGAAGTCCAAGTCCAGCGTAACAGGCAAACCCCAGAAAGTCCACTACCTAGCCATCCCCTAGGGAATAGCTTTAAGGGGGAGAGCCATCTGCCCTCCGTTGACTCATGGGGGTCCACCCAAGTCTTTGAGGGCTGGATCCAAGCCCCCTGCTGATCTCAAAGGTGGGCAGGTCCTCTCTCCAAGAGGGTTGGCTCCAGTCTCAAAAGGGGAGGCAGGGGAGAGTGGACTCTGAACAAATGAGGGTCCCAGGCTTCCCCTTGCCTCCAGGGCACCTGAACCAGCCCTCCAGCCACCATATCTGGACAGAGGTGAACTGGTCCTGTCCTGGCCCCGAGGAGGTGGCAGGCAGGAAGGCCCAGGAAGTCTCTGGCTCTCAGGTTCCCTCTGTGCTGTGAGGGGCAACCAGCTGGAACAGCAACTCCAGTGTGAAGACTTCCAGTTTCACCAGTCTCGGGGAGGGCCAGTGAACAGCAGAGCTGGCCTGCAGTGGGCTCCAGTGTACACCATTGCATCCAGTGTTGGGGGGTGCCCAGGCACCCCTGGTCCCTGGTGCTGCCTCAGGAGGCAGCTCAGTCACACAGGCGGTAGAAGTGGAAGTAGTAGTCTGTGGCTGGCTGGACAAGAGCCTCCAAACTGCAGTTGGCCTGACCCTGAGTGGAAGGGCAGTGGGAAGGTGAGGTGGCTCTGTGAGTGTGGGGCAGATGGCACTCCCTGCTGACGTTCCTTGACACTGTGCCCCCATCCTACCACATGATGTGCAAACCCTCATTCCTCAAGCTCCACACCACAGACAGCGGTGCCCAGACCTCCGGGGTAGGTGGGATTCCCCTGCTCACCAGCAGTGCCACCCGGAAGTGGTAGGTGAATTCACGGAAGGACAGGATGGTGATTGGCCACTGGTGAGAGGTGCCCTGGAGAGAAGGGAGAAAGGAGTCAGGACAGACTGCTGCCCCTATCCCAACCGGCATCTCATGACAGCCATCGCAGTCCTGGGGTCTGTGGGGAGTTTTATGAAGGAAAAAAGCAGAGAACTCTGAAGAGATGGGAGGGAGCGTGTTCTGCTTCAGCAGAAGGCGCAATGGCAGCTACTCTGTGCAGACCGTGCCTGGTACTGGCAGGTCCACAGCCACCTCTGCCTGGCCCTTGCCTCCTTCCCAGTCCTGTTGTGCTGGGTTCCCTCACCCACTACGCTCTGCGCACATCAAAGTATATCATTAGCCCCACCCTCAGTACGATCCAGTGATGCCGTGCTGCTACTAGCCCTACCTTCTGGATGAGGAAACTGAGTAATGTGCCTAAAAATCACACAGTGCAGCAGAGCTGGGATTCAAATCCAGGTGTGTCTGGCCCTCTCCCTCACAGGGTGGCATGCGGCCTGGCTGCAGACAGCTTGCCCATCTCCTACCTGAGGCTTTTGGCTCAGTAGGAGATGGGCAAGTCTGTGTGATGTGGTTTCAGGCCTGAGCGCGTCTGATGCATGTCTAGCTGGGCTCTCTCTCGGCCACTGTCGCCTCTGTAGGGCCACAAGGCCCCGGCCTCCATCAGAGGAAGCCTGAGGTTTCCCAGGTGCTTTTCTGCACGTCTTTTTCCCTCACTATAGAGTACATTCTTGGAAGTCAAAACCTGTGTCTACTCCACCTCTCTCCCCTGCAACTGGGCCCATCCAGCAGATGGCTGGGACAGATGGGGCCCCAATCACTATTTTCTGAGTAAACACATGAATGGGTGAGAAAAAATAATCACTGCTTCCCTGTTTGTCCTGAGAGTCTTCTCCCATGGCTTCTCAGGCCCAAGGAGAAAGTGGGGGTCCATCAGCCTCAGGGATAGTCCTAACTTCCGGTTACCTGGCCAGGGAGGAGCTGGCCATCCAGTTCTCCCAGAAGAGGTGGCCAAACATGGAGCCTGAGGGGTTTTCTAATGCACATCTAGCTGTGTCACTTCCCCAACCTGAGCCTGAGGCTGGCTCCTTCCTGCTTCTGCAGGCACCTCCAGTGAGTCACAGCCCTCCCTGCGTGGGCCCCCAGACACCCGCCTGTCTCCATCGTTGCATTCATCCATGTCAGGCCCGTGATCTGCCTTCTTTCCCAGGTCTCCAGCATGGCAGGGCCAGGAGATGCTCACAGTGGAATGAACAAACACGGCACACGTGCCCATCCCTGGGACACAGAGGCCCAGGCCCCAGAGTGTCCCCTGTGGAGACACCTTCACTCCATAACTCCCAGCTCCAGCTCATTGCCCATTTGGTGGCCCAGCTGTGCCAGGGGAGAAGAAGCTCAGGCCTGGCCGGCCCACAGCTTCCCAGTCCCACCTACCTGGGTGTCCTGGTGGGTGTGGAGACTCTGTGGAAGGCCCCCCTCCTCACACGGCGCCTCCTTTGACCTCAGGCTGCACAGCACCACGGACACTGGGGAGGAGGAGCTGGAGACAGGCCCAGTTAGCAGAGAAATGGGGTTCTGGAGTCCCTCAACCCCAGCACCCTCCCAGCCAGCCTTCCACACACCTCTGAATCCCCACCCAGCCTGAAACACCGAATAATAACCATTCCCATCAACCATCCCACATGGTCCTCAGTGGTCCTCAGCCCGTGAGGCTGGGTCATTGAGCCAGTTAACCAAAAAGCAGGCAATGAAGTCAGCACTCATCCCACCATGTAGGAAACGCCAGACTCTCAGGCTGTCCTCAGGCTTGGCTGTTCTGAGGTTCTGC